GCCCAGTATCCACCAGTTTAGGTCACAGTGTCCTGTATTCGACAGGCCGATCGATTGCTGGCGCATGTACGACTACGTTTCAGTTGAGCAGTGTTGAGAACTATTTCGAAGTCGCAACCGACACATTTTCCTACATCGTTCAACTGGTTTCACGTTTCCATTTATCCTACCTGCGCAAATCGACCTCCAGCCCTCAGAAAAGGACCAAAACGGGTGGAAACGGGTCCGCATTCTCGTACATCATGCGTCAGTCTCATGTCTCTTTGACGTTGGTTGCCGGGATCCGGATCCGGTCTCGACCCGTGTGGTTCAGCTTTCAGTCCGTAATTCGGGGATGTTGTACATTCCATGTGAATTGAATGGGTGAGAAGAAATCGTGGTGATGTTGCAATGTGGTGCGAAAGGCCCACCTGACCAGATAGCATGCATGCGAAGCCTCCGTATACGGCATAGCTTTTAAAGAACTGCGTTCGCTGTGATGTAAAAAGTGCATGGACCAGTAACAGTGTTGGTTAAGATAATGACTTGTAGAGAGAGTTGGCTCGGACAGAGCCTCTCAAGAGGAAAACGTTATCATAGTTCTCGTTTGACTCGCCCAAGCTGTCGCCTCGCCCATGACCACGGGTAATTAGGCTCGCACTTAATTATCTAGCAATCATATTCGCACTCTAAGGGGTATCCCACCTTTTTTGTACTTCCGCTGATTGCTACATCAGACGCACGTACGATTTCATCAGTCATACCAGCTTTTTCGAAATGCTCCCGAAAAGCTTAGAATTTATATTTGAAGTAGCCGGTCATTCGGAAGAAATCCCATTTGACTCCCTGCTCACCACTATGAAAGTACTACATTTAATTTGCCTAGTTTTTCAAATGTGTATACTTTGTTATGTTCAAGGGCGGATCTAGGATTTCGTCAAGGGGGGCACGCAATGTTGTGGGGCCCTCTAGAGTTTGGAGTCCCCTCCAAAAAAATACCCTCGCATTCCGGTCATTGAATTTGAAGATAAGCAGTAAATAGCGTATACATATATATCTATACATATATAAATACACACATATATATGTGTATGAATATATATATATATATATATATATATATATATATATATATATATATATATATATATATAGTAAATATGGAACCCATCTGTCTGTGTTAAAGCTAGGCATGATACATGGAGCTCATTCATTCTCTCCAGATCACGTTAATTCCTGTGATTTAGAGGCCAAGTGTTTCGGAAAAACAAGTAAAATGAACTCAAATCGGCTGCTACGTCCGATCAAAAGCAACCACGGACTCGATTCCTGGCTTATTTACGGCTAGGTGGCTGGTTGATGTAATTAGCTGGTGACTGATAACTATTTTATAATTTTATATTTGTTATAAAGGAGCACGAAATATTCTAGCACTCAAAATATGCTTAGAATGTGATGCACGAGTTTGATAAGTGTCACACTCAATCGCCAAGGGAAATGACACTTGCGACGTCGGAGTCACGTAAAACTACCTTCGACAGTTGCGCGCAGAAAGTCATCGGCACATGCGCGACTGCTGCTCTGAGGCTAAGGCACCAAGGCTAATAGGGACGAAACCTGACCGATCCTGGGTGCCCTGCGAGGTCAACAAAGAGGCTCCTTTCAACAAGTAATGGGTCCTCAGGACAAGTGGAAAGAACCCGAGACCAGCGTGGTGGGCCCCTAAACGATCGGTAGTACCTCGGTAGGCTGACATATAAAGCCCCGACCAGAACACAGGACCCTCTGAGCAAAGGGAACCATGTAAGACCATGAATTGATACCCCCTGGCGATCAAAAGTGCCCCTGCAGGTTAACAAAAAGGACCCGATAGGAGTAAAGAGTCATTCGCAAATGTGATCAAAGGGAAAGAGCCCTCGATCAAAGGGAAAGAGCCCTCGATCAAAGAAGGGGGGCCCTGAGCATCGAGTGTCTCGACGCCTTACCGCATATGAGCCCCAGCAACAGCACAAGTCCCTCCGAGCAAGCGGAAAGAACCCAAGACTAATATGCTGCTGAGCAGCTGAGTGTATCCTGACATATGGAGCCCCGGAAAAACCATATAGAGCCTTTCGGGTGAATGGGAATAATTCGTTGAGGGCTCCTGATTGATCAAGAGTGCCCAGGTGTGAAAGCAGATAGTGTCTCAACAGCAGCGTTGGGATCATGTGCGGTAAATGAAAAAGTGCTAAGAGATCAAGGGTAACGTGGAATGCTCCTCGGCAATCAGACTGGCCAGGTAAGTGGCCATATATGGCCCAGACAACGGCGTAAGGCCTCTGGAAGGCATAACGTACCGCACGGTTTCCATCAATCACCACCCTTCAAATCAGCAAATATTTTAAGTTGTTTACTTACGTTTGCAATCGTTGTATGTCGTCTGTAGGCCCAAGCACATCCAATTTTATTGTGTTTTTTTATTAGAAAACTGTGTCTGTTCAGCCGCTTATCGGCCACTTCGAAGCCTATGGGTCCCCTCTGCATTGTCCATGGGGCATGGTCCGGTGCCCCCCCCCCCCCCCTCTCTGTATCCGCCAACGACCCAAGCAGCTTATAGATGGGACCCGCCAAAAACATAGGGCCATCCATTCAAGTAAGAAGCATTCAAGACAACATGGAGACCCCCGGAGTGGTCGAGTGCGCAAGTGCAGATTAACAGGAAGGCCCGTGAAGAGCGTAGGGCCCTCCATTCAAACAAGAAGTACCCGAAACACAATGCAAATGGTCCCCGAACGATGTCATGTGTAGAAGCAGATTATCAGAAAGGGCTCGACAAGAGCGTAAGGCCCTTCATTCAAGCACGGGGTACTCAAAACTCAGTGCGGAGGACCCCCGAAAGATGAAGTTCACCCGAGGATTGTCAGATGGACCCCGACAGGAGCGTAGGGCCCTAAATTCAAACACCAAGAGCCAATGTACAGTCCCCTGGACAATCCAGTGTAACCGAGGAGGCGAACAGAGGGGGCCCGACAAGTGCTTAAGGTCCTCCATTCAAATTGGAAGCACCCAAGACACAATGTGGGGCCCCCGAACAATTGAATGTGCCCGAACAGGATGGGGGTTTCGACAAGAGAGTAGGGCCTCCCGTTCAAGTATGAAATACCCACGACACAATGTAGAGGCCCCCCGAATTATCGAGTGCGCCAGCGCCGGTTAACAGACAGGGCCTCCGTCAAGAGCGTAGGGCGCTCCAATCAAATATGAGGTACCCAAGACCCGATGTAGAGGTCCCCCAATGATCCAATGTGTCCGAGCAGCTTATCAGAAGGGACCCCGACAAAAGCACAAGGCCCTCTATTCAAATAAGAAGTACTCAAAACCCAGTGCAGAGAGCCCCGAAAGTTGAAGTGTACCCGAGCAGGTTACCAGTTGGCCCCGATAGGACCCAAAGTAGTAGACCCAGTAAGGCCTCAAATTCAAACACCAAGACCCAATATGCAGGGCCCCCGAACAATCCAGTGTCGGTGAGGAGGTGAACAGAGGGGCCCCGTGGCAAGCGCGTAAGACCCTCTATTCAAAAAGGAAGCACCCGAGACCCAATGTGGAAGGCTCCCGAGCGATCGAATATGCCCGAGCAGGTTTTCAAATAGGCCCCCAACAAGAGCGTAGGGTCCCCTATTCAAGTACCGAAGAACTAGTGTGGAGGGCCCGCGAAGGATCGAGTGTGCCCGAGCAGGCTATCAGATGGATCCCGACAGGAGCGTAGGGCCCCACATTAAAATGCCCAATGTGTAAGCCCCCCCCAAAATTCGGTGTGTCAGAGCAATGACATATGGCGCCATTAACAAGTTAACGTATAGGGTGTAGAGCCCTCCATTCAACTACAAAACACCCGAGACCCGATTTGGTGTGTCCGGAACGACCCATGTGCTCGATGAGATTAACAGATGGGCCCCGACAAGAGTGAAGGGCCCTAAGCAAGTGTCAGAGAATTGGAAGCTCCCTAGAACAATGTAGGGGCCTATGAGCATATCGTGAGTTTGTCGGTAGGTTAACCGAGGCCGTCATAAAGGGCGCCTGCGCAACCGAGAATGCCCCGGCAGGTTAACGTGTGGGGCCCCAGCTACAGCGTACAGAGCCTTTCCGGCGAATGGAAAAAAAATATGTGGAAGGCCCCTGATAAACAAGAGCGCCTCGGCACGCTAGCAGGACGGGCCAGCAAACACCGCAAGGACCCGCGAGCAAGTACTAAAAATCAAGGGCAAAGTGAAAGGCTGCTTAAAAATCAGAATGACATGCAAGTGAGCACATAGCCCCCCCCCCCCCCCCCCCGAAACGGCATAGGCCTGCTGGACAGCATAATGAAGCCTAAATTCGCCAAGAACAGTTTTTAAATCATTTAGGTTTTGTTTTTGTCCACTCGTGGGTCCTTTACTTTTGTTTGCGACTGTTCTTGGTCGCCTGCAAGTCCAAACACACCCAATTTTGTTGCATTTTGTGTTAAAAAACTGCACCTGTTCGACAAGCTGTGGGCCTCTTCGGAGCCAATGGGCCCCTTCGGGGCCCAAGGGGGCATGGCCCCGTGTCCTCCCCTCCATCATTTGGATCCACCTCTGGTAATGTTTGCAACGCACTTAAGTGTCAATCACATAAGCCACTCTGGGCCAATCACAAACGCCCTTTTGTTCACACCATTAGAGGTGCGCACGGTGGCGGCCATGATGACGGCGTTCGCGACTGCAGGGAAGAAACGTATTCCTGGTACAAAGCCTTGACAGAGCAATTCAGACACAAAAATAATTGAAAATGATATTCTGTTTTTTTTAAGGCACCGTAGTGGTGCATGGTCCATACGCTGCCAATACTACTATCAGACGTAAAAAGGCCTAAGGTTTCACTAGAAAATATTTTTTGAATTACGCCCCAAAGCTCAGACGCTCCCTTTAACCAATTAGGCAATCAGGTTCGCAATTCCACAACCATGCGGCCTACGCATGGTCAATACGGTGTACAAACGGCTAATTTAACATGGCCCGTGGATCGTTTCACCTATATTTTCAGGAGAGCAATGACAGCGCTAATATCGATTGGCACAACGGCAACATAATGCAAAGGCGCGTATGACTTAACTTTCTCGACGCCCCAAAGAGCATGCTGTCACAAGGCGTGAGCTCCGGAGATACGGCAAACGTGACGGTTTCCGTGACAGTGACTTCAACATCACGTGTCAAGTCTGTCGAAGCTCACTCTGACACACCAGCGCAGGTGCAATACGCAACTCCATGTCGTACAGAACAAGGGAAAATCGATAGTACCCCTGTGACATGATAAAGTGCACAGCAGTAGCTGGAATGTATGCAGTTGGCAATAATACATTCTCTCGATGATCTGGACATTCAGCGCACAAAAAGCACAAGGATAAAAGTGCTCAGGCAGGCCATGCATGCAATCATGCATACATGCATGCACGTGTTAATTCCTGCAGCAAATCACATTAATCAATCTTAACGATTATCATAGCGTTGGGGACCTCGACCGGAACACAGCGAGCACCAATGCAATCAAAACCTGTAGCAGCTTTGCGTGTTTCATGCCCTTCGGACTTTCGTCATAAATATACCGCAACGTATTTGAAGGGAACGCTTGGCTTAATGACGAGCTTCGGTTTCATTTCGCCCAGGAATGGCAAAGCGAGCATAGCGAGCCCCATCAGCAAAACAGACCCTACTTCGCTGTCAAAGGGGTCCTTCTTTGGGACTAGGAACATTATTAGGTTTGGGGGTCCATACAGATGCTTTGAGGGCCCATTTGGTTAATTCACAATACCTTTACTGCCGTTTTGAGCAATCACAGCCCCACCACTTTTAACTTCAGTCCCTCCACCCCCAGATGGAGTCATGGTCCCCAAAGCCTCTTGGTCATGTTATTGACGAGTTTTGAACTGAAATTCACATCAAGTGTTGCATGCTGCGTGATCATATGGTGTGCACAGTCAGATGATATCAGCAAGACAACCACAGGTGTCCAGTAGTGACGACGGTAAAGCTAGCTCGCTATATTTAAGCTTCGTGCAGATTTTGAGTCGGCAAAAGAGCACTAGTGTAAAATTAATTTCACTAAGGACGCTGTCATTGGAAGGAATTTTTCCAAAACAACAACTGGTGGCATGATAGAGCAGGCAGCTTAGAACCCATCAGGCACGCAGACATATTCGTTACTCAGCTAGCGCTGATGCCAGTGTAAAACAGCCCATAAACAGGCCACCACACAGCGGAGCACCGCCGCCTGCCTCGGCACAAAATCCTCGCAGCGTAGCACGCCATCGACCGTTGCGTGGGTAGATCGGCACACGCCACGAGAGCCCGCGTCCCGGGCAGCGCTGCGCACCGGCACCGGGCATCGACGGGCGCGCCGTCCCAGCGAGAGTTCGTGCCAGCATACTTCACAAGCGACGCAAACAGAAGCGCGGAGCGAGTCAAAGCACACGAGTTCAACAGTGATTTAACAGGAGCACGGTCTTCAGTTCAGCGGCGTGGCACGATCGACGGGACGTGCCCTGCGTGCCCAGTGATGACGCTGTGCGTCCACAGTCTCCCCTCCAGCGGCCCGTCGGCCCACACATGCCGTTTGCTCATCGGACGGGCGACGGACAGCGCACTTAGCACGGATTGTCGTGGGTGCTCTTGTCGGGGTTGCATGGCGTCGCCTTGCCGCTGTCACCGTTCGACTCCGCCGTTTTGATGTTGTCACCTTTCTGGACATCGGTCATGTGTATGTTGCTTGACTGGGCATTCCCATCGGTTCCGGAGCTGCTGGCCCCAGTTGTCTTGGTCCGGGAGGAGGGCGGCTTCTGTCGGCCGGGAAGAAGGTTCAGACGATACATGGGGTCGGTGAGACCGCGGCCTGTCGATAGCGCCAGAGGCTCACTTGCCGTCGGAGATGACGACCACGAGAGCACACGCCTTCACGGTGGTATAGTCATGATCGTGCACCGTAGACGACTGCAATTTACTTTGGCATATTAGTTGCACGGCTGAAACAGTCCAGATGTGACAAGAACACGTTTTCACATACGCGCTGTTTCTGTGCATACATACCATGGCAAACCCGCGTACCCGCTCGTCCTTTCCTGGTGGATAGATAAGGCCAGCAGACGGATTGAAGCCGCGCTTGGTGAGCTCCAAATATCTGTCTTTGATTGCCCGGCGTGAGGAGGAGCGAACGATGAACAGAAAGAAGATCACAATTCCCTGGGAGGCGTTGAGGATGTCCGTGAAGTACCTTGAGGGTGAAAAGGAAACACCTAGTGTAGATAGCGACGTGATTAGTAACACGCAAAACTTGATAAAACGCGCAGTGGGAGCCACAAAACCACAGGGCAGTGCGGCATGAGACGAACGCATCGAAATTCCCGTAGCAAAATGCACCTCACTGACAGCCAATTAATTATAATCATGAATAATCCGATAAATAACATAAATGACGGTTCACATTTGCTCTTTTGGATGCCACATACCCACCCACCATGTCTACGGGGAATTTAAAGTAAAAAATTCCTTGCTCCGCGCATCAGCTGGCATAATGTGATGTGATTTAGATCGCTTGGCAAGCTAGCAGCGGACAAATGCGGGGATCTTCTTCGATTCCGTAAGCTGAGTTCTCGCGAAGCGCCTTACACATCTTGTTGATCGCACAGCTCAGAAACAGCTGCAGTAAAATTACAGTGCCCTGCGAAATGCGACGGTAGACCTTGACTTTAATTAGGAGTATAAGAATTAAGATCCAAAGCGCGAAATATTCATTACAATTGAGTGACGGCAGTCAGGGTAAAGTGAGCGGGCCGCAGCTATTCGAGACTGCGAGTCTGAAGAAGACATAATATGAGAGAAAGCAAGACAGGGACAAGAGCAAGCAATACGGAGTGAAGATCAGACACGCAAATTTATCCCATCCACGACCATTAAATCGATTTCCGATCCATACCCTATGAGTTATATTTCATTTCAACTCCACACCCTGGATGCAGAGTTGTTTCCAATTTCATGTCTGAAGAGACACAACAGCCTGCAATGCGCCTGTAGTGCGATATGCGGGCTTTATCAACACATATGTTTGGATCAGTGGAAAACATAATTATACCTGGGTAGCCTGTCACATTAACCCTTTCATTATTGATGTTTCTGAAGCAGGCCTTACGATGACTTCATTGCAAATAATTTCCTAAGCTTCAGCTCAAACTTGCCCACATGTTTTCATGTCGTTTTCACATTGCCCGAAGGAAATGGACGTCCCCCCCCCTCCCCTGGAAGCTGCTTGCGATTATCCCGACATGAAATACAAACACTGGTAGTTTTTTTACATGGAATGCATATTCTGGTGCACACTTTTTAAGATCTGGGTGTTAGTAAGCAGTGAACAAATTAAAGGAAGGAAGCACGCATGCTTATGTATCGGTAGAAACCTTACCAGATTTGCTTCGGAGGTATCAGTTCAGACAGGCACTCAGCTATCCAGCTGACCTCCATGATGATGAACAGGTTGACGTACACCCTCAGCCTGAAACAGTAATTCTTATATTTCGGTGTGTTTTTGTTACCTTTGCTAAGGAAGTGTAATTCAGTAGTCACTACAGCGTCCACCAGGTGCCAAGCACAGCGTTGTATTAGCAGTCTCACATTCTCAGAAGGGGTTAATGCCACCACAAACTTGGCGACGGAACATATACGGTATGCGGGATCAGACAAACTGGTGTCTCTGACACACAAATCACGTGACAGATACAGGTTATGCACAGAAGGGGGGGGGGGATAAGGACACTTTTCGCAACACTGTCAGATGCGCACGCATCTTAACAGCTGCCGTTGTTTCCCACATTCATGTGTCTGACACCAGATCTGCCACTTCAACCATCCACCCATGCAAAATTCGTGCACTGTTATGACCTCATGACCACCTTCTTGCAAGAACACGTCTGAAACAACAACATTCAAATTGGACCTTTCATAATACTTGTACTATTTTCCCACAGACCCGCCTTTGTTACTTCCAGCATCCGGCACTGCAATCTTTGTGTACGCATCACGTGGGTGTCTACCCCAGTCTCCGGCACGTGACCAACGTTTTCGTCAGAGGATAACAAATTGCTCCCAAGTTTGGAGATGAAGATTCCAGAACAAGAAACAGTATCGAAGAATGATACAGTCACTTTGCGTTCTGTCTTCAGCTGTACCGCTTTGAACGGAAACGAGATCACAAGGAAAGATACCAGAATGTGCTCGCTTCTCACAGAGCCCCTGTTGCAACTCAACTAAAAACACTGTTGGGAAAAGTACAAGCACAGTCGTACAAACAGGTACCAATATGCGAAGAGAAAAATCCTCACAAAAGAAAATGCACCATATAGCTAAGGACAGCAGGTTATAAGTTTCAACAGATGTAAAACAATATTCAGCTTTGCCATACCCCAGAAATCGTCTGACTCAGAATGTCTTTGACGTCATTCTTGGCCGAATTTGAATGAATGAATTTCAAATGCTTTTCCCAGGCAGGTGCGATGAGTTGAACTGAATGACGTTGGCACCAGATTAATACTGGATATCAAACAGCGCATGCCCACGACCATCGACGTCGCTGGCCATGCGGCGATCAAGGCCAATACCAAGATGGTTGTCGAGCCGTTCACATCTGGCGTTCGTGAGCACGACTTCAAGATATAACGGCCGTCAGTCGGCTCTCAATCAATGTTGTGCAAGGCACGCTGACACAATCAAGCAATGCCGTATTGCGGAGCACATCCACTAAAAAGAGAAATGACGTTATCTGGAGCGGCCTTTTCCACTTAAAAGTATGCGAGTAGTTATATGTGAGTTTATTTTGTCACATCTGATGCTTCATTATATTTAAATAATGGCCATTTCCTTTAAAGCTGCTCCGAGGCGTTACAACTTGCCACATTGTCTGACGACGTCAGGGTTAGGCATACGAGAAATGCTGCGGAAACGGTCTCAACAGGCCGGAATTTCAGCGACACCATCAGAAAGAGTGCACTTGCACAATTCGTTTGCGCAATATCAGCAAGATGCCCGATCCTACACTGACCTGGCCGTCTAAACGACCGAGACCACATTGGAACCTTCACTATCTCCCGCCCGCCATGGTGGCTCATAGTATCTATGCAAACCTGAAGGATACACCGCACAAACATGAGCCGTGGAAAGAGCGGTCCAGTTTGTCACTGATGCGGCTCTGCCCGCGCCACACCGCGATTACATCGGGTCTTCTGTTCCAGAAGACAAAACGATGGGGTGCAGTCAAAATCTGGTGTTCTTTTTTTTCGCTATACTTTTATTGGCCATGCCGGTTCGCTCAAGTTGTATAATAACCGTGGGGCAACACTTTTGTCTCCACACGCAGCACGCGCCGGACCCTTGCCGAGCACAGCAGGGCGGGGAAGCAGGTTTGTTCTGACGCTGTTTTACCGGCGCTGGTCTCACTCAGTGTACGGAGGTTGCCTCTCACATATCCGAACAGTCAGATTGCTTAGGTCAGTAGATTTAAAGAACGAGGTGTAAGCAAATTTAGGTCATTTTTTACAGCAGAATGATCTGACCCTCTCTACTCCATAGGCGGAGCATACATTCTGTGTAGCCAGAATTTCGTGTGCTCCAACACCGGCCCCATTCTTCCCAGTCAGACGATTGTTGTCTGGTTGTTGGTCCTGAATGGGTTGAAAGCTGTTGCTTAAGTATGATATCAAGGGTCTTCACTGATCATAAAATGACCACTTGTTAGTGCGAAGGGCACATGTCCGCATATGTCCGCATGCTACTTATGACGATACACCGTTGCACTTCCATAAAGGTATTCGAATGAGCACTGGACATTTGCGTTCCGAAGGCTGATACTGCTTCGAACGGGACCGATCTTCAGTGGTCAGGCTACAGGCCCGCTCTCTAAGAGCACATTTTGACGGCCTGAGTCGTCCAACTCTTTTGCTAGTTTATGACCAGTTTAAGGGACTATTGACTCAACAATGAAACTAGATGACGGTGTCAAGTTCTTGAAGATTGAAACTTAATGTCACTGGGCAGTGTTACACAAACACGACACACCACAGAACGCTAATGAGTGTGGATTACACGTAAAGGGTAAGGTCATCTTACAGGGATATATTTATACAAGCGTGTGCGTGAACATTTGTATTGTGAAAAATATAAATTTCAGGCGTCAGTGCTCGTTTAATGCAAAAAAGACATGCCTTTGGTACGACGGCCACGGTTTCCTCAGCCCAATCCGGCATTTCTCTGACTCGGAAATGCTCCGTAACACTTCCTCTAATGCTAGGCAACATTCGAAAAGTCTCCAAACAGAGACCGTCTTAAATACCTTGAAATAACTACGTTCCGGATTTCGAAAGCGGTTCTGAAGCGCAAAATCAATAAATGGGCTTACCCTCCGTCGCTGCTACCAGTTGTAAGGCGTATGCCTAGTTCATGTTGTTTATGGACCCTGCCAAATGTTTGGAGACTCAGTTCAAGGTCAGAGATAGCGACTCATTGTTGAGTATGTCAACTCCGGCGCAGTTGTCCGGCGCCGACAAGCCAGCGGCAGTTCCGCGACTCGCCTCAAACTAATCAAACTAATCACTTGCGTCTGCCCGGGCTTGGCGAGAGATCACCCGGCGGCATCGTATGCCGCGCCGAAGGCAGGACTGTGGACTCCACGGTACCATACACCGGACCAACAGCAGGACTGTGACTCCATGGTACCGCACACCAGACCAATAGCAGGACTGTGACTCCATGGTACCGCACACCGGACCAATAGGCAGGACTGTGACTCCACGGTACCAGACACCGGACCAACAGCAGGACTGTGACTCCCGGTACCGCACACCGGACCAATAGCAGGGCTGTGACTCCATGGTACCGCACACCGGGCCAATGTCAGGACTGTGACTCCACGGTACCATACCCCGACCAATAGCAGGACTGTGACTCCATGGTACCGCACACCGGACCAATAGCAGGGCTGTGACTCCATGGTACCATACACCGGACAACAGCAGGACTGTGACTCCATGGTACCGCACACCGGCCAATGTCAGGACTGTGACTCCATGGTACCATACACCGGACCAACAGCAGGACTGTGACTCCATGGTACCGCACACCGGACCAATAGCAGGGCTGTGACTCCATGGTACCGCACACCGGGCCAATGTCAGGACTGTGACTCCACGGTACCATACACCGGACCAACAGCAGGACTGTGATTCCATGGTACCGCACACCGGACCAATAGCAGGGCTGTGACTCCATGGTACCATACACTGGACCAATAGCAGGACTGTGACTCCATGGTACCGCACACCGGGCCAATGTCAGGACTGTGACTCCATGGTACCATACACCGGACCAATAGCAGGGCTGTGACTCCATGGTACCATACACCGGACCAACAGCAGGACTGTGACTCCCCGGTACCGCACACCAGGCCAATGTCAGGACTGTGACTCCATGGTACCGCACAGCAGACCAATATCAGGACTGTGACTCCATGGTACCATACACACACCAATAGCAGGCTGTGACTCCCCGGTACCGCACACCAGACCAATATCAGGACCGTGGCTCCATGGTACCATACAACGGACCAATAGCAGGGCTGTGACTCCCCGGTACCGCACACCAGACCAATATCAGGACTGTGACTCCATGGTACCATACACCGGACCAATAGCAGGGCTGTGACTCCCCGGTACCGCACACCAGACCAATATCAGGAGACTGTGACTCCTGGTACCATACACCGGACCAAAAGCAGGGCTGTGACTCCCCGGTACCGTGCACCAGACTAATAACAGGGCTGTGACTCGATGGCACCGTACACTGGGCCTGTAGCGAGGCTGTGACTTAACGGTACCGCGCGCCGGACCGGAAGGGACTGCGGCTCGACTGACACGATGTTGTCGCACACCGGACAAAAAAGCGTGCATGTCACTCGGGGTAATATATGCCGGACTGAAGACCGGGCAGCGACTCGACCGGACCGCATACCATACAATGGGCTGGGCTACACCTGCACAGCACCTTAGGTCAGGTCACAAGCGGGGCTGTGACTTTAAGTCAGCGTGTACAACACCAAGAGCAGTAATTTAGCTCGACAACACTGTTAAGCTTATTTGATTAGCTGAACAAATGAGCTAAACGTCACTTTATACCGAACCACCGGTAAGGGGGTGGGGGGGGGGGGGGGTGCCTTGACAACACCCAGTACCGGACCAGAGACAGGACTACATCCGATAAGTACCACATACTGCACCAACACCATTTAGCTGACCAAGACCAGCTTTCTTACATAAGCTGCATGTTAAGCATTGTTTGCCGCTTCCACCCGAAAGGTCTTCATGGTCACCTCATGATATATTACGAGTTGATGGAATAACAGAACAGGTCGCCTTCCCTCTGCATTATTCGTGCAGTGCGGGGCACGCTGGGGGCTAGAAGCCGGCGGTTCACTGCTCCCAGGGACCCGCTGAAGAGTCGCTGGCGTGCCTCCAGTGCGCCCGCGGCTATCGCGGTCTGACTCTGATCGAGTTACGTTATTTAGGGCAAGATGGACAGAGCACGCAAATATTTGAACTGAACTGAGATTAATCCTGATACGCATTGATGATATACGGCACGCATCGTTTTTTTTTTAAAGTAACATGTCGATAATATAGTAGTCGCATGCATGGATGTCTTAAGATAGGCAGCACGGCTGGGGATCAGCCCGACAATGCGTGTGCGCACGGCTGGGGATCGGCCCGGCAATGCGGGTGCGTACGGCTGGGGATCAGCCCGACGATGCGGGTGCGCACGGCTGGGGATCAGCCCGACAATGCGTGTGAGCCCCGACGATGGGTGCCCTGCTAGGGATCAGCCGACGATCGGTGCGCACGGCTGGGGATCAGCCCGACAATGCGTGTGCGCACGGCTGGGGATCGGCCCGGCAATGCGGGTGCGCACGGCTGGGGATCAGCCCGACGATGCGGGTGCGTGAGGTGCCAGGCCACCCGACCAGAGAGGAGCTGGCCCATGCAGGGGCGAACTTGGGATTGGACCATGACCTCCGTGGGCGCCGAAGGCCCCTGCCTCTATTTTGGAGCGTGGATGGATGACTCGACTGGCTGGGCGGCTAGCCTGCGGCGTTCAAGGAGATCCAAAGACCCAACGATACCGTCCCTTAATCCGGCTATGCCTATCGTGCCGGTCGACCACTACCCGTCAACAAGAGCTGCCATTTTTTCCCCTTTTTAAGTTTGAAAGCGCGTTGTGACGTCCTGAGTCAAAAGCCCTCACTGGATTGGTAAGGACATGTACAAAAGCACGAAAGCCTACAGTTTAAGACTCATGTTCACGTAGAAGCTAAAGGGCATTCATAACTGCTAACATCTAAGAGAGGTGGTCTTCAGCTCGCATTTTTTCAGCATATATGCTCAGAGTTTTAATGCTGTGTTATCGACCTCTAATATGCCAGGAAGTACTGGTCAATTGGCATTATCGCGCAACATGGTCATATTGATAGCATTCGATGTTTCAAGCTGGGCTGAGGCTCACGGGGGCAGGGGTTGAGAAGGATAAGGACATAATTGCGCTTGAAAACCAGGGCAGGTAAATTCAGAAATGTCCAACATCTGTCCAGATACTGTCACAAAAAGTGATGAAAAATTATAGATCATCCGAGCTCCAAATGTTCAGACACTAGGTACGCGGTTGTACGCCAAGGACTCGATGAAACATGAACGGATCAGCCGTAAGGTTGCAATTACCCACAGCGAGCATCAGATTAGAAAATTACCTGCCACGACCATCAGGCACTACGAACGTTGCCCGAACATCACGAACATGTCAGCAACGCTGGATCTTACGTTCTGGCACCCAATTTAGCACCCGCCCAGGCACCCATTTTGACATCCGTCCTGCCACCCGCTTTGGCATCCATCCTGGCACCCAATTTGGCACATGCCATAGCACCCACTTTGACATCCGTCCTAGCACCCTATTTGGCACTCGTCCACGCACCAAATTTTGCATCCGTCCTGTCACCCGATTTGACGCGCAATTTGGCACCCACCCCGACACCCAATTCTGCACCCATCCTGACACCCAATTCTACATCCATCCTAGCACCCAATTTGGCACCTGTCCTGGCAAAGACTCTGGCCCCTGTTCTGGCACTCAGTTTGACACTCGTCCTAGCACCCAACTTGGCACCCGTCCGTGCGCCCAATTTGCCATATCTGCATGTGCTTCCACCAGAAAATTTGAGTGCATACTTAGTTTTCATCATGTAGTGGATTATCTGAATAAAGGTATGATATTTGCTCCAAAATGCAACGGATGTGTGGCATACAAACTTGGCTTGGTAATATTCACTCGCAGCACACTGCCTCCTCAAATCAGCAGCCTGAACACATTTCTTTCTCATCAGTTGTGCCAAGGTTGACGACGCGGAGATCCCGCACATTGCCGTAGAGGGGTGTCACCGTGCGGGCACCACTCTCTCGTAGGGAGGAACTCGCAGATGCATGCAGACTTGCCAGACTGCTATTCACTCTGTTATTAATCGCCACAGCGTTAGAAATGACCATTGCTGGTCCTAATGGGCCCTGATCCCAACTAAAACGAGACTGGAAGTCTCGGAATAATAAGAAACACTGCAGACACGAATGCACTGTAACATTGCCCTCACTATACTATAACCGCTGGATGGAATCTTAGCGGTGTACGGTCAGTGCTCTAACGCTGAGCTAAATCGACCTTATATTGTTCCAGGAAGGTGCTGGTTAAAAACGACGTTATAAAAAATAGCGCTAGCATTGGTGTAATGCAGTACTCGACGCCTTAAGATGGGGAAATACTCACGAATGACAAGAATTGAGCGAGGTCAATGACAAAATTGCACTTAAATGCTAGAAACTGGTTTAAGCAACGTCTTTTAGTTTACCCAGGCCCATAAATAAATCTAAAAGCACTGGCGCCCGCTTATAAATTTACGGCCACAGCAACGGACGTTGTGTTAAAAAACAATCATCATTGGATTAGAAATAGATGCATATTCCTTGTGATGACACCGATGCCCGCAAATCTTGTCAACCTCTCCCACTCACCACTCATGACACTGGATGCTTCAAATTCAGTTAGCGTCTCTTGAAAGTGAATTGATTTTTCCACTCAGTCTGCATGGCCTGGCAAGTTGTAAAATCTGACTCGGTCCCAATCCCCGTATTGTCTAAATGTTGTGATCCGGTCCAGGTTCAGTCCCACCCGAGCCTTGATTCCGCCCGCCATCTGCCGATTGATGCAATCCGTAGAGTGCTCTACCGTGTACGGCCACACGCCTCCGTCCGCAATGTCCTAAGTGTATCACAGTGGTGGGATTCCGCTGTCTGTGCCGCACGAAACGGCTCGTGTGGCCTTGGCACCGAGCTTTGAGCGCATCTGTGCATGACTGACGAAAGGACATATGAAAATTATAAAGTAGGTTATGTATAAATTGGTAACGTTCGTTGCGACACACGGGCGACAGTTAAAATATCATTATATAGATTATAACACAGCTTCGTGATAGCACTCACCCGACGTTGACGAATGAGGTGTCTACCTTTTCATGCCATCCTGGCGTGCGGGGAGATCGGTCTGCCTACCTGTCATCGTGGCGTGTGGGGAGATCGGTCTGTCTACCTGTCATCGTGATGTGCGAGAGATCAATCTTCCCACCTGTCTCGAGCGGTGCGCTTCCGCTGAAGAATTCGTGAGTCTTGGTCAGCTTTGTACAGCTTCCAAGCGGTGGCGAGAAAGAAGACGACGTTGACCCCCGTGATAATGAAGATCGTTATGTAGAAGTAGAGCAGCCCCGCTTTGTGACCTGAAAACAGAATATTCATATCGGGAGCGATAGTGGTTGACCATACATCTATTGGACCAAACAGCACACATGATCACATCGCAGATAATGCATCAACACATCAATCACGCCCTCATTTGTTCACGGCGACATCTCCACCTTTACATCTAGTTCAGTTTCAGTTAAGATTCATCGATTCGCACGTGAGATTCTCTGCATAACCGGGCATTGCTCCTTTTTTGAATTAAGGGGGGATTGTTCCAAAAACGTCAGCGGTTGCAGCGGGATGGGTGCGTACTTAGGTATGTATGCTGACCTTAGACCTCAGAAAAAGAGTCAAATAGGCTCATTTTTCGACACACACCCTATGTTTGCATGGTCTGAAGCATACAAATTTTGCAAACATGATGCGTCGAACGTATCAAGCAAAGTATTCATGCAGGTATTGATATAATATCAGTATGCATCTATGGAACATTCTGTATCTGCATGCATCACCATATGCGTCCATAGCACAAAAGCATCGATTATCTTTCCAGACTTACGTTTTTTCAACAATATTAGTTTAGTTAAGGAAATGAATATTTGTCTTTTTTAGGTTTACTGTGTCTTGTGATTTAGCTGTTCACTGTTATTTTCCAATGCTCCCAAAAACGCCCTTGGTGTATTTACGTTTCTCTTTAGTGTTCTGTTTATTTGGCTTGTTGACGTCAACCAAGTTGCGCTGCTTCCTACCAGTACCATGGCTATTCGGAGTGCTGTTGCTAGGCATCTCAATGTCGCACATACGAAGAAACTGTGGCATGTGGCTGGCGAAACTGAGATGCAGGGCAAGCTCTAGGCAAGGCCGGAACCCTGTCATCAACAAACTGACTAAACATGCGCCATCTCACCCGGCACCACCGCGCAGCTCTGCTCTGACGTCAGCGTCGCTGAGCACTGGCGCTCAGGCTACAGCCGACGGAGGCGCGCCTCACAGGCTACCGCCGACGGAGGCGCGCCTCAGGCTACGGCCGACGGAGGCGCGCCTCAGGCTACAGCCGACGGAGGCGCGCCTACGTTCTGCACCCGCAGACGATGCGCTTATGCTGGCACCAGCTTGGTTCAGCCGATCAGTCGTGCTCCGCCCGGTGCTTGGGACACTGGACGGCCTGTATGGTCCACAGGGACCCAGAACCAGCCCGAGGTCCGGTCGCATCGCTGACAGCCGTGGTGCTCTTCTCGCCGCCTCCCGCAAGGCCCACGACTCGACCCTGGACGTTGCAAGTGCGACATTTTAGTCCCCAGCAGGCTGATAAAAGGTCACAGCCTGAGTTCTGGTGAACTGATAGCATATTTGCGGTTATGCTAAAACTAGCCCGGTTCGCAGATGCGCCGATGAATGCCACGTGGCAACAAAATGCAGAAGTCCTACAGGAAGCCCGGCTGATAGTGGGTGTCTCGCTTCCGCACGAGGAACGGCTGGTAGTGCCTGCACCGTCATCGACGTAGACGGAAACGGTGTCTGTGCTGTGGCGGATGCAAGGCATGCCATCGTACCACCACGCACTGTCGGCGTGGAAGAGAGAAATGGCCACACTTTGTGGATATAGGAATTTTCTAGTGGTTTCTCTGTGAGCCATTTAATTGCCTGCCAACACCAGGCGTTGGAGTTCCCGAGCATTCAAAATTGCTAGCTGATGCTCTGACATATACAGCGTTCTGAAGATGAGCGGGATATATCAAGAAACATAGAAAATATATTGTGATCTGATGGTGAGATGAGGACAAAGAGTACAAGAGCATTCATTACTGAAATTCATCCAATAAGAATGTTCGGCCAAAGTCCTTAAAAACTGGTCAAAACGAACCCCCCCCAAAAAAACAGTTCACATGGGTTGCGTGGACTGAAAACCAATAAAATTGTACTAATTGCCGTTTTCAGATAGGATTATGGTGCAAGAACTTTCAAAACTGCTGAAAAGTTTATATTTTATTGTTGAATTAAATAATCCTTAAAGTCCGCCTTGCTCCACACTGCATTCTTGTCAACAAAAATGGCGTGACCAGCTCCAACGCCCTCAACCGATCCACAACGCTGATTGGCTGAAGAAACAAAAAGCTATAGGGCATCTGTCTTGTATCGTATGATAGACATATTCTTAGTTCGATAGACGTGGTCTAGCTAGTGGATGTAAAAGAAATTGCCTGAATTCAGTTATTTCTTTGCCAGTGTTGAATGCCAACAAAAACTTCCAAAAAAATTTAAGAACTTGAGCGTATTAAAAAACTTCATTGCATCAATCCATTGTAAACAACTAATGAATATCCGTTTTCATGATGAATTGATGTATCAACACGGATGGGAACTTCAGATTGACAAAAGATATCCGTGTTTATGTCATGTAATGCAGTGTTCGTCAAACTCATTCCAGTACTCCGCAAAAAGATTTTCTGACCAACAGCTGGAATTGGTAAATTGGTTCACACCAGGAACACTTAGTAACAGGAAGAAGAAACGGGATAGACAAAGGTCCTCTGCTGAGAGCATCCCCCTCGCAAAACAAATCAGATTTGGCTCACTTGGTCTCGAAGGCTATGCGATTTTCTTCTTGTTTTGCTTGCTTTTAGTAAAACAGAAGCCAGAAGTCACTGGAAGATGCTATTATGTTTGCATCTTGATCTCACTGTGTCAACCAAATGAAAAGCAAGAGGTTAAATAAATGCATCGAGAAACCGGTGCCATTCATTTACCGATAGTTCAGCGCACTCTTTCTAAACCGATAGCGCTCAGGAACTTTACCGGAATCTGCTGGGGTCCACAGAGGTATTGAGGGGCCCGTCAATTAAACGTGGGATTTACACCGAAATAGGGTTCAAATTTATATTGGCTGGCTAACCCATGTTTTTCTGGAGATTTTGTTCCTTCATAAAGAACTGAATATTAAAAAATTAGGTGGCATACTTTTGAAAACATGCGCTCATTAGCTTCAGAAACAAATGCCCCAATGCCCGGCGTTCAGTTTCCATAAGCTAAGCATCATCGACCCCGTGGTGGAGGCCAGAAGGGTAGATGAAAATGATCATGCATCCGAACAAGCGCCTCTGATCGCGTCAGCATTTTCATTTGAACGATTAAAAACCATTCCGGACTGTCTATTTTACCTGGGCGGTTTTTGGTCCTATAATCGGAACGGATTAGCATTTACAGCTGCTGCTAATTGTTCGCTGTTCGCCACTGCGAACTCGTGGCGTAATGGTGGAATCTGTTTCTCCTGTTGCTGCAGCCATAAGTCTGTCGGAGGATAGCTTCTAACTGATGATACAAGTGAAATTTTATGTTGTTTAATTTTGTTATATTTTGTTCAATTTTGCCTTAGTTTTGCCTTGAATTTAATGTTGCCGCCCAGTTTAATTTTGAAGCTATGGATGGATTTTAAAACAACTTCAGAAGCATTATTTCACGACAGATTTTTTTCATTCCGCACCCGGCGCCCGCCGCCTGGCGTTGATTGGAGCGGCCAGCACCGTTCGGTTTGATAAATGCTGTAACCGCGCGAATACGAGTTCTCGCTGCCAAGGATTGCGACTCTGCAAGTTCATATACTTTCGAATAATTTGTTTCATATGTTGATTCTGAGAAAGGATGTAAATTTTGGGACAAAAATAGTTTGGTCGTGCCAACACATTTTGAAGTAATTTCGATCTTCTGCATTAAACAGTAGGGAGGACCCTTTCTTTTCCCGGGAGAGGCGCTCCGTGAAAAGAACACTACAGGGCACACAACCTCTCCCGGTCAGGGGCTGGTGGGCTCTTTCGTCTCAACAAACAACTGGTTGATGGCGTCGCGGACAAAAAGTGGAGCTAGAAAGATCATGTGCATGTCCACTTGCATAGCTTACATTTTTGCAAAGTTTCACCAGTCTTCGCAACAAAAATATTTGCAGTCTGTCTGGCAACAATGTCGTAGGGTAAATTATCCGATGGATCGCATCGGCGTACCTTCGAAAGTGACATCGCAGAACAAGCAACAAGCTCCACGTAGCCCCACGTGCTAAGATTTGGTCGCCAACTTTTTATAAGAATACATTCACTTATTTTCCTGTCTATTTCACATACAGGGCTCATTATAGCCGATTATGCGAAAGTGATATGCGCCTTTATGTGTGATGTGTGTTGGCTTAAAATCGTTTACATATATAAGTCATGCTTGACACGTAATGCGCTATGCCAGTTTAATTCAAATCGCTTGCATGTATAACTGATGCGCGACGTATGGTGCCTATTAACTTCAACTCGCTTGCATGTCTCAATGAACCGTGATGCGTGATACCTATTTGCTTGAATTCGTTTGCATGTACACATATGTTAGCGTATTCTAATTCTTAGATAGACACTGTGTCGTGGTAATGGATGGCAATCGCTCTTTGTTCAATTCCCTGGATGATGGTGTCCTGTAAAAGCTGTGGCTTGCCGTTAGAAAAAAAAACTGAAAAAATCGAGTAGGACCATAGACAGCTGATTTTGAATTCAATTGTGCTATTGTTTTGATAGAGGCATTTTGCCGAAATATCAAACCAACTATATCTCCATTCTCTTGATTTTTCTCCGAGGAATGAGGCTATTGCTACTGTCTTATCTATGTGAATAAGAAAACCTAAAAGCTCTCATATGCACCACCTTTGCTGTGAAAGGGAATGTTCCATCTTTGAAGATATTGCAGCAGGCATCAGATATGATGAAATAAGCTCACATTTACTGTTGGTATACTTAAAGTGGCTAATATTGCTCTAAGCAACAATATTTCTCCACTTAATAGGTATGCGCCTTTGTTTGATTGCCTCATCGCACTTTGCACAACAGTGATTGAAAACCAGTTGACTGCCTTTACATCTGGAGATCGTAGTCACAAGCGCCAAATATGAACGACTTGAGAACTCTATTTGTATTGGCATTGATCGCCGCATGGTCAGTGGAATGGTAGGATTCCAATGACGTTATTATGACGTCATGGATGTTTGGGTAAATTTGAAACAGTATTCACGAAAGAGCCCGGACGTCTTCGTGGGCGTGTAGTTCAGAAACTAGAGGGGCTTTGGTCTTAAGATGGGCAAGGCTGTTAACTGCATCGAATGATCTTCAAGATAGTCTTTGAGCCCAAAACCCCGTACAAATGTGAAATATTCCTTCTGATGTTTAGAACACTAAGATGTAGCAGAAGGCTTACACACATTCTGCCACCATTTTTTTCCGGTAATCCAGCCCAGATCGGGATGGAGTTTGCAATAAGATCGGAAAGGCGAATTGGCGGGGATCAGATGTATCCTAGCCGGATCGGACTGGACTGGGCCCTGATCATTAAATCCTTGGAAGGCACCATCTCGAGAACAACGTCTCGAGAAAAGACGTAGCACAGACACCTCGTCCGAGCTGAGCCAGGTGCACTGGTATCTGATGTCTGTTGGCAGCACTGCCCTGAGACCCAGTACTCACTGGCGAAGAAGCAACGCCCCTCGCCGATGCCGGGCCGCACGATAGTGCCGTCAGGGATGACCGAGGTGGGCGCGTAGTTGAAGAACGCCAGCAGGCCGGTCATCACCAGCGGCACGCCCCACGCGTACAGCGAGTGTCGGATGAACCGGTGTCGCAGCGACCGCTCGGACGGCGGCTGCGCGCGCAGGTGTCTGAAAACAGGGGGTCTGCTGTAGGACGTGACGACAATATTGGTCAGCGTGGGAATGAAGCAACATGACCACCCATATGGAACGAGGTATGCTGTGCAGCGGAGCAATGCTCAGAGCCGAGCCGCTGAGGGCTAGTGCTGTCTGAGGACCACACACTGATGGGGTTAAATGTTAACAATAGCAACAGAGAGGGAAGTGGGAAGCTTATTTGTTGAGTTTACAACATATAAATGCGCATGTAATGTTGACAGCTAATTGGGTGGGTGAGCTAATCAACCGCTCAGCAATGTTTGAAAAGAGCTTTTGATAGTTGTCTAGATCTGCGGGAGAAAAGTTTTGCAAAATTTACGGTGAAATTCAAAAAGACTAGCCTCACCAAAAAAATTTCACGGTTATGCGCTCTCTCTTATGCGCAAAGCGAACAGTAAGCCCATTTGAAAGGACATCGGGCTTTAATAGCAGGGACCCCAGGGGCAAATACAAATTGTTAGAGCCGTAGTGCTAACTAATTTGAGCTGTTCAGCATTTCCCCAGTCCCAGCTCGATGTCTGTAGCATCGTGCACCAAAGCACATGCTTGTTATCCGATCTTTAGGCAGTCGAAATTCAATTTTTATCTGTTCAGAATAAACTCTGGATGCATAAAATTTCGTACAAAGCGTTCAGATTGCCAGAAATGGGCAATCGCTCTCGTATCCATTATGTTTTAAGTACAGCCTACGCATGGCAACTATTGTTTAAATACCATAGGCATTATTTACGCATGCATTTTTTGTGCAGGTGTGTTTGCATTGCACACGGGTGCCTTTTTAAGCGCTGATTTGAATATCGCCTCATATTTGGAAATTGCGGGAAAAATTGAAAACCACGCGGTAATGTACGTTTTATCAGTTTTGTGTTTTCATGTACTGGCCATTAAGGCGTAATTAATCAGTTTAGCGCTTTAGCATGATTTACCGTACACAGTGACTAAATACGATGCTGTCGGTATCTATCCCAGTGTATCACGCCTTTTCATGAGCTCGTAATGTTATCTGGAACGTAGCGTGCGTCGTAGTTGCAATGCTTCCGGTAGGTATCGCTAGTTGTTCTGTGCGGCGCGTGTCCGCCATCGGCATAGGTTCTTCTCCAACTTCTCGGCGCAGTCGCCAGGAGTTCGACGTAAAAAAGGTTAATTATAATTATTTGCAGGCCATCCGAGACACAATATCCCATAGTTAACGTCGATTGACATTTCCGTTAGAAGTATTGCTATCACCAACAACGAGAGAATGCCGAAGAATAGCGCGGCGAGAAATAGCGGATAATTGATGGCATTCATGGATTTGTGATTAAACTTAATCACGCAGGCTGCTGTTGCTGTTACTTGCATTGTTTGCACTCACTTGGGTCAGCTTCGTACAACCGTGCTGGGATGTGTTTGGATTAGATTGTGACAGGAGTGAACATCCCAGCCCAGAGCTTATGGAAGAGCAAAATATTGACGAAAAGCTTGCCTTTTGTTTGCATGTTTGAGAATCACTCCGACAAGCATGTAACCAGCAGACCACATAACATCACTGTAAATATCCCCAGGTTTTGTTCGTGCGTTTCGTTTTGGATGTGGTTGCAGGCATATCGGTGCAGCTCGATGTAGCAGTGACCCAGGACCAGTAATAATTTCTTCAAGAAATGTTTCGTTGATCTGGTGAAGATCGCGTTTATTGGGGGAGTGCTCCAGCTACGTGATGTTGCAGGGATGTTACCACAGCATCTGTCACGTAAGAATAATCCACTTTTCGTCTGGGCGAACGTTCAGCCGCAACATCTCATCATCGTCACAACTGTCGGACCAACATGATAACTCAGCAGCTGAGGAGCTGGCAGAGCTGCTTGAGGAGCTGATGGAGGCAGCGCTGGCTCGGAAGTGGCGTCAGCAACGGAGGCTGCGACACGACGCTTTCAACGCCCCTTTTTGTTCCCTCCAGCGCTCTGCCGTAGCCTAATCTACTTTGCCGATATAGTGTCGCCGGCTCTTTCGCAATAAATGTCAATATAAATGTTGTGATATTGGGATGCTCAGGTGGCACAGTGCGCTTCGAGATGTCAAACAGCGGAGCCATACGCAAGACAACAAATGTACGATCGCACTGGTAGCCACGCCTCCGCACCACTTACTCGATATTCCAAGGTCGGTGGTCTCGTCTTACACACATGCCTTTCCTTTCGTGGGGATGGATGCATTGGTTCAAATTTCGATCACGTCGTCACCTAAGTTTCTAATGCAACATTTTATGGAGATATGCTTTTCGTCAGTCTTTTGTCCTCCCATTTCACTCTCAAGTTGAATACGTCACAGGGTTTTGTGGCAAACTGGGTGAGAGGCAGCCTCATTTTGTTTCCAAACGGCGTACCTTCCATACAAAAGGCTGCGACCAGAAATAGTGTTTAATGAGCTTGTTTCTACGCAAAATCGCGCAAACGCGGGTGCGACGGTGCTACCCGAGGCGAAAATAACAATGGAGGCAGCAGACAATCGACGTGACGGATCAGGATCAGAGAGCCAATGTAGCTGTCAAGTTACTCGCATTTTCTTTCCCGCATTACCTTTCATGGCCTGTCGTTGTTGGTGTCAAAACCTTTTTGGCTATGACAGAACTGCTACACGACGTTAGCCGTGGACATCGGATGGGTCTTTCGTCAAGGTGCATGTAACTGTTTTCACAATGTGCTGCAAAGTTTTAAAAAATTGCAATGTTTTCACGATTTTTTAGCATAGAATAAGCTCTCTGACAAGGAAATGATCGCTGTCATGTGATCCCATTAGCCTTGCATAGCTAACTGACATATTTTCGGCTAAGCATAACTTTTTTAAGATGAAACTAGCTCGTTATGGGTGTGTTTTCTTTGGTCCATGCCCTTTGTCCACCAAGGGTTCACCTATTTCTGCAATAAAACTAGGCCTGGCAATCAGCCGTGTGGATCCGTTCAGGGTGTTGAATGCTAGAGCTGCTCATCATTGTTTACATCGACGCTATGTAAAACAAGGCGAGCTTTGAGGATCATTTAATGCAAGGCCACGCATCGTGAATCATATTCAGGCATGAAACTCTGAAAATACAGCACACCTATGAAATGGAGGAGGTCGGGTTTTCTAAGTCAATTCCGTCGTGTCTGCGTCAGACACGCCACTGATTTCTTTTAAAGTTGCGAAAAGTTTCGGTCGGAAGATATCTGCGCACATGCGGATGATCTCGCTTACAGCCAGACAATCGCAGTTTGACATTTTTAAATGCGTCTTGAAACGATCCTTTTAAATTTCCGTGAAACATCTGCAGCCGAAAATCGCTGATAAAAGTTGTGAAGTTGAACAATGAAATGAGCAAGGAAACAAATGGACAAAATGAACAATGAAAACAGTTCGAAGAGTTTTCAATAGTGTTGCACCAAAACCCAAGTAAAGACAGTCGTTATTTTAGTTCACCTCTCTTTCACGCCGACCTCCCGGCAAGAACCTGCACACATGGTGGCCACCAGGTGCACGTACCAACTGACGACACCTAACGGAAACACTGGAACTGCAAGGCGCACTCTGTTCAAAGTAACCTGACAGGTCATGGAAAAGATAATACGTTCGAGCTAACATCAATACCATTGTAAAGGATCGTCATTTCAGAAAAAAAGATATTCACCTGCTTGGCTTCACACCATTCACACCATGGCTTCCTTAGGCCCCAGTCAGCATGATATGCAAAACAAATCAAGCTGCGAAAACTGAGGTCGCTAATCGACTTTGAATTTTTGGTGGATTTTTTCGGATAATTCAAAATTTGGGGCGTTATTTGAGATGAAAGCGTAACAGCACACCAGAAAAGACACATGAAGAGTAATTTTTTGGCAAAACGTTCAACTTCGTCTTCCCAATGGGCATGCCCATCATGTCGCTGCAGCGATATGTCGAGCCCAACAGTCATAATGTAGTGAGAACGTCAGCGGATAGCCGAATGAATATGTACTCCACGCAGTTGAGACAACTGCTAAAACATCAGGGGCATTGTTATCAGCGCGTAGGTGCTGTCAATGGGCTGGGAATCGCTCGTTAAAATCACCCCCTCCGTTGCAGATTGTGGTAAATCCCCGTCTGAAAAAAATCCTGGCTGCATCCCCGATCACGAGTGAGCAAGGTAAAGTAAAAATGAGCGAGATCATGTGATATTCATGAATATAGAAATTATAGCTTGTAAAGCACCACATCAAATCGCGTACCACAAAGAGAGCATTCAGTGCAACCGATGCCGTTCGTGGGAACTATTCAGGCAGTGTGGTGATGAGCGAGGCGAGGCTATGTCAGTTCAGGCAATTTCCAAACATGTCATCGAGAAGCGCACCATTGTCTAACTGCTTAGCGGGGTGGCTTAGCCGGTACTCATCGTCTGATATTGGCTGTTCCAGTTTCTATCTCTGCACAATCTCGTTGGCAGCCCAGACGAAGCGGTCAGATATCGTCACGTGGGAGAGATACTCACGCAAAGGTCCACCAGATGTCGAAGCTCATCACGTTCAGCCAGAAGAGAGCAGCGTTTGAACGAGAAGTACGCCCCAAAACCTGAGAATGTTGAAAATCAGGAAAGGGATGACAACAAAAGTACCAAGTGACTGGTCCATCAAGTACTCTGCATTGTACAAGTGCATTTGTTGCACAATCGTGACTGTGGTGATATTGGACAACCGACTGAATGGCAAAACATCATGAGTAACAGCAGTAGCCATTAGTGATTCGACGCTTGTCAACTTGAGTAAACAAAAGGTGTCCAGATGGCCTAGCTTGCAGTCCAGGATTTACAACAGCTAGGCCTGCAGCAGGTTGTCGATTGTCCGGGTCGATTGTCCACGCTAACGCACCCCATCTTAAGTGTAAAGGCACGGCACGCAGCCTTAAAGCTGACGTGCATTCCAGCGAAATGATTCTTCGAATGATCAGTGAAGGCTGTGCAGTGTGCAGTGTGCCGCCCCCGCCCGCTAAGTTACTTCTCATCCCGATTGGTCCGTGATCTGTTCAGTTCAGTGACGCCCCGGTCCCCCGCTGATTCTTCTCATCCGATTGGTCCGCGTGAAGCGTGCAGTGTGTGCGTGTGCCGCCAGTCCCGCTGACTTACTTCTCATCTCCCGGTTAATCGCGTAAGCTGTGCAGTGTGCAGTGTGTCGCCCGGGCCCCCCGTCCCGCTGAATACTTCTCATTCCCGATTGGTCCCGTGAGTGTGCAGTGTGCAGTGTTCCGTGCCGCCCCGTCCCCGTGAAAGTTACTTCTCATCCCCCGGTTAATCCATAACGCGTGCAGGTGGCATGGTGCCGCCCCCGTCCCGCATGAAGTTAACTTCTCATCCCGATTGGTCCCGTTGAGTTGCCCCGCGGGTCGCCCTGACCGGCATCAGAGTGGTGGCGTGGCGATGCCGCACTCTGAGGTGGTGTTGAAACCTTAGCTGCTCTTGTATTCAAGGTGCATATTCCGTAGCCATTACTAAGCGTATGTGAAATCACTGATGACTACCATTGTTGCTATCACATTGTCATTCAATGGTCATTCGAACGCCATCGCGGCCTTTTAAGACGCGAGAAATACATTTGGCACTGTCGAGTAAAATGCCGGGTAACTATTCTGGGCCATGTGTATAAACTCGATTTCGCATAGACATCCTCGGTTGCGAATTCTTACGACTTCTGTGCGAATCTGCTACATTTCTCACGGATTTTTTTTGCATTCGAAGATATTCAGGCACGCATCGGTATGATGCATACACTCACTTGTAACTATTGTATGGCTGTAAGCACGGGTGTCGAATTGATTCTTTTAAGGGGCCAATGCCCCTCATCCCCCCCCCCCCCCCCGAGACAAAGCAAAGAAGCGTACTAGAACGGGCTGTACTTCCCTATCCGTTGGGAGAATGCAACTCACTGATGTTATGGGAAAATGCAGGTTAAATCAGGAAACAAACCTGCTTTTAGCGCATTTAGGGTCAGGTTTCCCAGCTCAGTTTTCTCCCCCCACCCCCTCGGACCCAATCCAATTTTGCGAAAGTACGCCCATGTGGTGGAAGTTTATTGACCGTAACAAGTAACGGCTTTACCACACCAGCTTACTTCAGGCCTGGGACTAATGACTCACTTCCCAGCGGGGACAAGCCTTTCATTAGAGAGGCCTTTGTCAACCCTGTGCCCTCCCCCGCTATATCAAGACTCTGACTGTACACCCTTGCGCGGGTGAGCTCATTGAGTATCCTGTACGAGTAGGTAAGTATAATGCCATGGCCATTTAACGGCCAGTTCAACTAAAACGCTTTTACAATCAGCCTGCATTGCCTAAGGTAAAGTTACGACAGGAGTTTCCTTTGCCACATGTTCGAACTGAAGCAAATGAGGGTCATTCTCCTTTCAGAGACACAATAGCTTAGAACAGCGACCCCAGAAGTGCAGAGGCTCGCGACGCGTGTTTTTAAACGAGCGGGGAAAAGACGAGTTCAACAGGAGGACATCTACTTACGCGTATTTGGGAGGGCTGATGACATTGTTGTGAAGTGATGCGTGGGGAAGCGCCAATGCTTTGTTTTACATTAACTGAAATGCTTATGTTTTATCGATGACATTTTGTTATGTCCAGAGCTTGTGCGCAACCGGGTTGTGGCAGCCGCATTTACTATGTTGCTTGCGCTACTATTGTGAGTACAGAAATAAAGAAACCGTAAAGTATCTAAGCACTAGTTAGAAAGCGAATGCGCAGACTTTACTTCGAATATGGTAGAGGAGGTGCAACTGCATTCCTTCAGCTTCATCGAACAGGTGCGTTCAGAAAGAAGCTGATGCTAGTTTTCAGGATATATATATATATATATATATATATATATATATATATAACGAACAACCAGAACATAGGTGGACGACATCTGGCACATTTTTCATATCTGTCCCTCATGACGACTTCCACAACTCTGCCCCCCGAATCATTGTAAAAATATACACTCATGGCTTTTAAAGAGATTGGTCCATATTTCTATGGGGCTTTGAACTGAAATTGTGTTCATGAAGATGATTTGGTGCGGTTCGCAGTCCGTCCCTCTTGAGACTTAAACTTTTGTAGTTTCCGAACTGGATGTCTGCCAAAACGGGAGGACGTTTCGGCGAGAGTATTTAAAGATCACCTTGGCATTTTATGACGTTATAATAATGCCAAACAAATCCTGGCATTCTATCAACTATGCGGTGATCAAGGCCAATAAACATATTGTGAGTGAGTCGCTGATATCAGGCGTTGGTGAACATGATTTACCGACATGACGGCCGTCAATTAGCTCCCAATCAATGTTGTGCAAGGTATGATAACGTGGGCAAACACAGTCCTGAAGTATAGTATAAGTAAGCCCTACATATCGTGGTGCATATTTACTAAACAAAGAAATTATGTTGTCTAGAGCCCTTTTGTATACTTTAACACGCGCTTGGGTGGGGGATCAAGTTGACCCCCTCTCGAAGGTTTTGCCAAAACGGTTTTCGAACGGCGCATCCGCGCCAAATTTTGCGTAGCTGTAGACAATTTTTTTAAGAAATTTGATCCGAACCCTTTGAACGGATGGATTTCTGGGATCAGCGCCCACGCTATGCAGTGCTTGTTGTGTGAGCCCTGACCCCTACCATCCGATCGCGCAATTCCAAGCAACGGCAGAATTTAGTGGCGAAAGCTTAACGTGCCGCAATGCTCGGCACGGTCCGTCCTGCCCTCTGACGTCAACTGACCTTAGTGCGACCGCTGCCACCGGCCGCAGACCATACCTGTCAGGGACAAATAGCGAGCGCATAAAGCGACTCGAACCCACCCCGCCACGGGTGGGTGAATCGGGAGGCAGGCGCTCTAACCAACTGAGCCACCGGGACGGACGGGATAGACGGACGGACGGACAATTGAATAGCAGATTGTTCTGCATCAAAAATTTAGATTTACCTTGTAAGGTAGCTGATCTATGGCAGGTCAAAATCAGGCCACGGTTTCAGCAAGGAGAATCTCTAGGGAAACGTTCAATATGATGCAACAACGGAGTGTTAGACGAACCCTTTATCTCTGAGATGCTTTCTTAGCCACACAAACATTGAATGAGCAAATTGCACTGACCTAAGGTTAGGTATGAAGGTCAGACCAAGGTCAAAACCAGCCCGTTTTATTACCCAAGGGTATGGGATAGTGCTTGCTGCATGGGATAGTTTTTGGTGCTCATTTCGAATTTATTGATAGCAGGAACCACATCTTACATCTTCCATGGAATTTGTAGCGGTCAAAATAGGTCATTGACCTAAAATGACTTGTGTCAACAGTTTTCCTTTAGGAACACACTGCCTAGCATAATCTTTGTCGCTTATTGGAATGCAAAACTCAGAGCAGTCTTGCGTGAATTTGGTCACCCTAACCTTCAAAAGGTCAAACAAGGTTACTGGGCTCATATGAGCATGTGACCTCTTGCTTAGAAACAGTTATCTAGGTTCTGGAAGCACTTTGGAGACCAGCCTGGAATTCGACCTTGTTTGACCTTATTTGACCCAAATGTCAAAATCTAGGAACTGTAAACTTTGACCTAAGTGAGGACATGTACAGGGCAACACACCCTGCAAATTTGGTGTCTCTAGCTTTCTTAGTCCCTGAGGTTTCAGGGGGTCAAATTGACCCCCACACGAGCGAAAGGTTATCCAGCCGGCCATCCGAGCGCGTGTTTAAGTATATTTATAGTTATAAAACAGGCTGTTTAATCATATCTGATGTTTGCCTTCACTATACGACATCTATTTTTCTCAATACGGCATCGTTTGATACGTCATGGAGCGTTTGCATCAGGCCAGGTTCCTGGCAGACGGGCCATGTCAATTGTCACTGAACGGACGGGCTGATTCATTTGCAGTACTCCACCTTCTGAGAGGTGGCTTGTTAACTGGTGCGTGTTTGCTGAACCCTAATATCGTTACGTGTGCGCGTTTTTGACATGTTCTGATAGAAGTGTCGCATTTTGTTTGGATAATGCATTGTCTACTTGCATTCACGTATTTGGTTACGGCACTACGCTTTAATTATTCGATCCGCAGTTTTATTTCCGTCATAACTAGCATACCCCTGACAATATTTTCCTATTACGTAACACAAAACGTGATGCGTATGAGAAACATGCACTGAACGCCTTAGATGGTTGAAGGCTAGCTGCTATCTTTGATGCCAAGAAACGTGCTGATATTTGTCAGCAATTAAATACTTATATTATACACACACACACACACACACACACACACACACCACACACAAACACACACACACACACACACACACCACACCACACACACATATATATATATATATATTTTATTATATATATATATATATATATAATAAAGTAAAAACTGCCTGGCATTTGTCAGACAGTTGAATAGTTCTAAGATCCCATTTGTCCCGACCTTAAACACTAGATGGATATGAGGTGTCCGACCTTAACACTAGATGGATATTGAGGTGGCGGTATCTGCGTGACGTTTCTATATCCTCATGT